TTGTGTTCAGTTTTAGGTCCAAAAGCTTTTGTTGAATAATTACAAGTTAGCAAGAAAGGGAACTTGTAAGTCCGCCACGTATTACAGGTACGTTATAACCAAGTGAAGGTAATTATAAAACGAGATAAGAAAACTTGGTTTGTTTATCGAGTGGAATCGAGATATATCGTATGGATGTTTATCAATTCTTATTATTTTCTGATTTATGGGGACTTGGATACTTATTTGGACTGTTTATTTGATAGTTAAGTACCCTCGATAGTCCCAAAACTAGGGTATCCTGCAAACCCAAAATCCAAACATAACCTTTCCATACTTCTATTTAATCCCGAGGCAGAGGAATATATATATATATATATATATATATATATATATATATATATATATATATATATATATATATATATATATATATATATATGTATATATATGTACCTCCCATTTATTAGCTCTGCATGCCAACTTAAAACAAACATTAGGAACTCTGGCTGTGTGAGGATGTTGTGGATTTAGTCTTCGAGCTGTGATATGCAGTAGATATTTTGGTCATTTCGCAGTAAATATGAGGCCGGAGAAACTAAACCTGTGTTTTTTATTACTCTGTCTTTTATGCTCTGTAGGATGACAGTGTCCGTTTTCCTCAATCTGTGCATTGCTCTCAGTAACAGTAACCGATAGGTTTTGATAAGTTAACGTGCTAAGGGATGGAACTGATGAATGTATCAAGAAATCTATTTACAGGTAAAGCAGTATTTTTTTTTTTCTATGGCAGAACCAGATATTTGGTGAAAGAAGAAAGAAGAAATTGAAAGAACAGTTGCTTTGTATAAAAAGGTTATGTTATCACAGAAATTAGATCAAATGATATAATATTTTACAGTCCAGTAGATAGGCTATATACTCTCCCCTTTTTTAACACAAAAAAAAAAATTTAATTGCATTTTTCTTTCTAAACTCACCTTAGTATTCAAGACTAAGGTCACTGGTTTTGTGTGTGCTGTACATACAACTCAAAAAAAAGTATTTACATTTTCTTAAATATGCACATCCTTTTTAGAATTAATGGATATTTTTTATTTTTTTGAACTTCACTTTTATATTGATAATACAATCTACTCTATTCTTTTCCCCTATGTATTTGTTAGTCTCTGTTTGTCATTATTTTTCATTACTTAATTTTTTCCATCCTCATTTTGTTGTTGCTCTTCATTCTCTTGTTCCCACTGATAGTTAAAGTTTTCTTCATGGTATTTTGTATAATAACAATGAAGATATAGGCCTGATTGGTAAATGTTACCTAAATTTTAGATATATTGCATATTGATTGATGAAATCAAGGTAGTAGTTACCAGTTATCAGTAAATTGATTTAAAAAGTCTTAAAACTGGATACATCATAATTTCTGATAAACTTACTGAAAGTATAAGAAGTGACCAAATTATTAACCCATATATGATATCAGTAATATCTAGAATTGCTATTAAGACGTAACAAGACAAAGTCAAGTATGATCATCAATAAGATAGCAATGATTCCTTTGTCTTATCAGTTTTTTCCCCTTAAATTAGTTGTTTTTTAAGTGTTTTAATTATTTTATTTTGTTCTATTTATTTTTTTTTTTTATTATTATTTTACTTAACATATAATATTTTTTTCTTTTCCTTCTACAGATGTTTGGTGTTCATTTAAAATTATTGGCAGTTTTGATGGTGATTCTTATTCTACAAGAACCAAATGTCTTTCAAAGGTTAGTATTTGCCTTTGCTTTTTATGCTTTTTATGCAACTTTGTTGTTTGTTGTCATTGTTGCCATAGCTGTTGTTACTTATTGTTGATTGTGAGAAGGATGAAAGAGCTCAATTTTGTGTTTATTGGTTATTATATTGATTATTAAGGCAGGGCTAGTAGTATATGATAGTAGTACTGCTATTTATGTTTCCTGGTGGAGTAGCTATGTAGTGATATGGATGACTGATGATCACACGTTGTTCATGTTAATTCAAAAGCAGTTTCCATTTTGAAATATTTTATTAAGAAACTCTACATTACAAGTATACATGGAAAAATAATCTAGTAACCAGCCTAGATTGTATATGTATATATTTTTCCCCCTAAAATCTATGGAAATAAATAAAGGGCTTAGGATTTTCCCGAACCACCACACTGCTGTAGCCCTAGTGGTAGCCGTAGGTGGCAGGGTAGCCGTAGCCCTGCTGGTGGTGGCCGTAGCCGTGGTGGTGGTGGTCGTCGTAGTGGTAGCCGAAGGGGTGGCGCGTGTCCACGAAGTTCTTAGGGCTGCCGATCTTGGGCGTCTTGAGGGAGAGGTTGGTGTCGCCGATCTTGTAGAGGGACGTGGCGTCGGCCAGGAAGTACACGTCGAACAGCGGGTTCTCGTCGGCGGCCGTCGTCGTGCTGCTGCCGCTGTGGCCGTACGCGTAGCCGCCCCCGTAGCCCCCGCCGATGCTGCTATAGTCGGGCAGTTCGGCGTAGGAGCTGCGGG